AGAACTACGACCATACACAAACACAAAACAGCAGCCACACGCCAACCACCACACGCCACACGACAACCACCACACGACAACTTCTTGATAACGTTATTGTACACATGCCTCTTCTTCATTATGCCTATCGGATTAGTGATGCTTTTGTCAGTGCCTGCCCGTACCAAAACATGCGTATTGGAAAGAAGTAGAGGCATTTTGAAAAATCGTTGATGAGCGTTGTGAAAAGAAAAGAAACTGCGATACTCCAACGAGGTACTCCAACGAGGTACTCCAACGAGGTACTCCAACGCGATACTCCAACGAGGTACTCCAACGAGGTACTCCAACGAGGTACTCCAACGCGGTACTCCAACGTTATTTCATTAAGTTGCTGATTGTTTATTTCTCCAGTAGATAAACCAATCATTTTTGATCAAATAATTTTGTAACCATATCAATCGAATGCCACGGACTTCGTAGCGTTCAAGTTTTGTAGGCGGAGTTTTGCAGCCAATACAATCGATCCGCGCCACACGAGCATTCATTAAATCTATACACACGTACATGCATATCACCATCATTACCATCACCACCCATCTGTAACATTCATGTTTACACCTACTCTTATTTTCCAGCTATATGATCTAAAATAATTATATATGGTGTAATTACAATAAGGAATAATTTTCAAGACCAAATTTGAAGCCGGGCAGACGAGGCAGAGCAAAAACACAAAAAGGGTCCTCTCTAAAAATGGAGCTGTTACTTTCTTCCTAATTGACATAGCCAAAGTTGAAACTTGTCGAATAGACCGGTTGTAATGAAATTCAGCGTAAAGGCCAACTCTTTACTGTTAACCATTTGAGAATCATAAATAAAAAATAATGGAGTATTTAGGAGTCTTTTCTCCGTTGTCTACCATGTGGGGTTATATCATAAAAGATCGCCAGGTTAAAAAAAATTATTACAAAAATTAAGGGTCTCCAATGAATAGTTAAGGGCCTCTACGATCTTCAGTCTTCTTGTTTTAGGACCTTCCTCCGTAACTGTCAATCCAGCCCTATTAGTAATAATAATAATAATAATTATTACAATAATAATAATAATATTAATAATAATGATAAATATAAATTTTTATTATGAAAAAGTTGAATTATTATTACATTACATGGTTTTAATTGTTGTAAACTGTTTGATTTAGTTTTACAGTTCTTATTGTTGTTGTCGTTCTTGTTGTTTGTTATTACAATTGCTATTACCCTATTGTTAATGTTATTGTTGCTGTTGTAGTTAATGTTATTTTAATGTTATTTTTATTGTTCGCACAAACCTATAGGTAGCGTGAGTATCATTGAAGTTCGTTAGGTCTGCAAATGAAAATTAACTCCTCAAATTGACTTTTGTCATGCTATCATTATCAATCGTCATCATCATCGTCGTCGTCGTCATCGCTGGCTGTCGTCATCGTCTTCATCGTCACGATCATTTTTTATTATCATCTTTATATTCATCATCGTCAGTACCGCTTCATAAAAATAATCCATGCATCCGTGTGATTATTTATCATCATCGTCAT